AATCCCAACACTTTGGGAGGCCGAGGCAGGCGGATACCAAGGCAGGCGGATCACAAGGTCAGGAGATCGAGACCATCCTGGCTAACATGGTAAAACCCCATCTCTACTAAAAAATACAAAAAATTAGCTGGGTGTGGTGGTGGGCACCTGTAGTCCCAGCTACTCGGGAGGCTGAGGCAGGAGAACGGTGTGAACCCAGGAGGCGGAGCTTGCAGTGAGCCATTGCACTCCAGCCTGGGCGACAGAGGGAGACTTCATCTCAAAAAAAAAATTTAAAAAGAAATTTAAGAAAATTGGCCAGGTGCAATGGCTCACGCCTGTAACCCCAGCACTTTGAGAGGCGAGGCGAGCAGATCATGAGGTCCACAGATTGAGACCATCCTGGCTAACACAGTGAAATCCCATCTCTACTAAAAATACAAAAAAATTAGCCAGGCATGATGGCACACGCCTGTAATCCCAGCTACTGGGGAGGCTGAGGCAGCAGAATCGCTTGAACCCCAGAGGTGGAGGTTGCAGCGAGCTGAGATCACACCACTGCACTCAAACCTGGGCAACAGAACGAGTCTTCATCTCAAAACAAACAAACAAACAACAACAACAACAACAGAAATTAGCTAGGTATGCTGGCGGGTGCCTGTAATCCCAGCTACTCAGGAGGCTGAGGCAGGAGACTCACTTGAACCCCGGAGGTGGAGGTTGCAGTGACATCACACCACTGTACTCCAGCCTGGGCAAAAAGAGCGAAACTCTGTCTCAAAAAAAATTTTTTTTAAGAAAATAAAAACACACCTGCAAATTATTTAAGATTCTTTCTTTCAAGAGGTAGAGCCTAATTCCCCTCTCCCAGAGTATGGCCAGACTCCCTGACTCGATTCGAACCCCTAGAATAAAGCGGGAGAGACTTTGAAGACGAGGTCACAAAGAAAGCACTGGGGCTCCATCAGGGTCTCCTCACGATCCCTCTCGTGGAGCACATGCTCTGGGGGAAAAGGCTTAGGACATCTATCCCGTAAGACACTCAAGCAGCCCCGTGGAGGGGCCCCAAAGTGAATCCTCCGACCCTAACCAAGTCCCACCCGGCTTCAGGGGAGGGAGACCCTGAGCTAGAACGACCCAGCTAAGTGTCTCTCCATTTCCTGACCCTCAGAGACGGAGAGAATGCAGGTTTGCTGTTTTAAGCCACTAAGGTTCCGGTTATTTTGTTATACAGCAATAGATAACTATTGGGGGATCTCCACGTCTCACCCCCAAAAGCATCCCTCTAACTGTGGCTTCAGCAGCAGGCAGAGCCCCAGACCAGCCCCACTCCTTGGGCCTGGCCCACTGTCACTCAATAACGGGTCTGGAATATCATTCCCCAGCTGGATGCCTCTTCTCAGGCCGCCACCCCTGAGATGCCTCCTCTCATCTCCCCAGCTCAGGCAGCCCCATCTGCTATGGTGTCTTCACAGCACTGAGGTTACCAGGCCTTGTCTCAGCTGCTAGAACACATTCTTTACAATAGATGCTTTGTAATCTTCACATCAGATTACAAGCTCCATGAGGGCAGGGTCCTTGCCTATCTGACACATGTCTGAGTCCCCAGCCTGGCCACCTAGAGGGCGTTCAATAAAAGTTTGCTTCATGATTGGAAATCCCAGCTCGAAGCAAAGAGGGAGACCCCAGCGACAGCACAGCAGCCCAGGAACCCCGGCCCGATTACGAGGTCTGGCTGCTTTCCTGGCACCAAGGAGTAGGGTTGTGGGGGCTGGATCCTGGAGAGAGCGGCAGCCCTCAAGCAGGTGCCTGGGCGCCTTGTCTCCCTAGCTCTTTGCCAACCTCCTGAGTTGTTCTTCTCTGAGAGAGTGCTCAGGGGAGCAGGGTCTCTGTGGGGACAGTGGCTCCTCCTCCAGGGGTCTCTGCCAGCCCCCAACTCCTCCTGCTGTTCTGGGGCAAGGGCCAAGTGCCTGACAAGTTCTCCATCGGCTCACAGACTAAAGTCGGTTCTTTCTGCCATCACTTTTAGATCCTGGCCCAGGCCACGCAATTCATGTCAGGAGTAAATCATTTTGATTTCCACTTCTGGTCCCGAGAAAGCCATCTTATCTTCATC